AGACTGTAGAGCCTGACCAGCATAGTATGTAAAGTATTTGAGAGCATTATAAGAGATGCCATGATAGAACATTTATTACGAAACAACCTTGTAAAGAATTGCCAACACGGTTTTATGCCGGGGCGCTCCTGCTTAACACAATTACTCAAGGTACTGGATATTTGGACCCATATTCTGGAACAGGGTTGTATTATCGACCATATATACCTACATTTTGCCAAGGCTTTTGACAGTGTATCCCATAAAGGCTGAAAATTAAACTGGAAGGGTACGGGATTCGGGAAAATGTCGTAGCGTGGATCGAAGATTTTCTACATGACAGCAGGCAGTGTGGTGATTAATGGCACGAAATCATCACGTGTACCCATCACAAGTGGGGTCCCACAGGGCAGTGTATTGGGCCCGCTGTTGTTTGTTTGCTTCATAAATGATATGGCTGACGCTGTACATTCCTCCATACAAATGTTTGCCGATGAAGCCAAGTTATTTCGGTAAATTAAGAACCAAACAGACTGTGAAGAGCTGCAGAAGGATCCCTGTGAGCTCCAAGAATGGTTGAAGAAATGGCTGCTAAGATTCAATGTCACGAAGTGTAAGAGGATGCACCTGGAACGTACCAACAGTAAGAAGGCGTATCATGTGTCCCAATGGGAAGAAGAAACAGCATTTATTATGTGAAAAGGACCTAGGTGTGTTGACAATGAGCTGAAGTTCACAGGCCATTGCGAGAAGGTAAATCAGGCAACCAAATTGTTAGGTCTTATAAGGTCGTTCAGATATCTAGACGGTCTGTCCCTCGTAGCAATCTTCAAGAGTGAAGTGCTTCTCGTCTAGAGTACTGTCAGCCCAAGATATGCTAGTGACTGTCAGTTGATTGAAAATGTCCAAAGGAGGGCCACCAGACTGGTGCCTGCACTATGGCACCTCACCTACCTTGAGAGATTGGAGAGCCTGAACTTGTCTAGCTTATACAACAGATGAGCAAGGGGAATGTGTTCTGTCTGTTACAGCACCACCTGGTGGTACCACGGTGTAGCAGGATTTTGACCCCTACTCTGTGTGTAATGGTGTTGCCCCCTCCCCCAACCAAAGGAACATCTGAAATAACGCCCCTGCAGGTGCAGTGTTACCAAAGAAACTAATAGATGCATCATCTCCTCACCACTTACCACAATTTACCCCACTACCTCTAGTATCACCACCTAAATCATAATTTCAGCAAAGCAGATATGGATAAGCCTCCCCCTCCCACCCATTGCATCTCACTGACACACTGCCTCTCACGCATTCTACTACAATCGCCACTACTACTCATCAAACGACTGTCATTCATGATACAATATTGTTTATTTGTTATTCATTAATTAGTAAAGACATGTGACTGTAAGAACCAGTATTCATTAACACCAGTCCTGTACCGTTCACATACATTACTGTATTTATTTCACATAAAAAAAGTCATCAGGAAAGCATCTCCATATATGCAATGGTATAATGACCCCTTAGAGTGTCATTTTGGATGGTGCTCTATTATCCAGGTACATATCCTGAGGGCCAACTGGGGTATTACTGTATATGATAATACTGCACTGTATAAAGTTAATACAAGCGAGGGGCCAGAGCTCCACTATACGATCATGGTAAAATAAACTCATCTACCAACCACAAAAGGTAAGTGAAATTAATTTAATCTCCTTTATTTTCACTCATTTACAATATTCATTATATCTTTAATATGATTTCCAGTTTGTGTATTGTTTTATTTTTCTTTGTTTTCTCCCTTATTTGAATTCAACGGACAATTGCCATTAGTGGACCCCCCACCTCTAGTCCACAGAATAGAGGGTATACTGTATTTAAAAATGTCTCATATTTCAAAATTTTACATATTAAATTTTTTTTAGATATACTTAGTAACAGCAAAACAATACAAATTAGGAGTGATCTTGTATTAGAGGTGTATGAATTATGTTTTTTTTTTTTTACTGCCAGAATATACTGTATACAGCAGAAAGTTGATATAACGCAAGATATGTTCCAAGAGAGGTTGCTTTAAACCGAATTCGCACCAAATCGAAGTGTTGTTTCAATGGAATAATTTAGTTTGGTACTTGAGAGAAACACAAAATACTAAAAAGACTGAGAGTCTACCCAGATGCACCTCAGCCCATATCTTACAATAAACAAAACATTGTTTTTTGTAGTATTATTATTGAAACAAACACTCATAAATCAACACAGCTAAAATTAAGGGATGCGAAATGGTCTGTTTACTGGCTGGGGAGATGGAGGGGGGAGGGAGGCAGGGAAGGAGGGAGGGGAGGGGAGGGAGGGAGGGAGGGAGGGAGGGAGGGAGGGAGGGAGGGAGGGAGGTGAGGTGATAAGTTTGACAGTTGAAGCTGAGGTCTAGTGCTTATTTATTTATCTGTCCTTAAGAGTGACTAAGTTTTTCTCTTATAAAATGTCACTGAACTGACATGGGAGGATATAATTAACATTGCTGGAATTCTTACAAGATAGTGATTAATTTGAATATAAACATGCAATAGCTCGCATTAAATACAAATTTTAGTTCTAATTTAAGAATTTTAGTACAAAGAGCAAAAATTTTTATCACTTGTGCAAATATATGACGTTTATATTCAAATTATTCGCTGTCTTGCAAGGATTCCAGCAATACAAATTATATTCTCCTAACTTTAGTCTGTGACATTATATACTGTACATGTAAGATAAAAACTTTAAGCCCAAAACACCAAACCCTGACTGGAGGGAGGGAAGCGACATGTTTGACAGTTGGCACCAAAGGTATAGTGAAGTATTTATTTGTTTATTTATGTCCTTTAGCTTGAGTTTATGTTTTTTGCTTAAAAAATGTCACAGAAGTGACAGGGGAGAATGTAATTTACATTGCTGGAATTCCTATAAGATAGTGATTGATTTGAATATAATCATGCTATAGTTTGCACTAGACAAAAATTTTAGTAATTATTTAGTACATTATTTTGAGTACGTGTACAGTACAGCTTTGCCCTTAGGACAGTGTAACGTGCCCAGAGAAACATTAGGCGCAAAATTTTAAATATGATGTGCCAGATTGACTCGTGCAAAATAGGAAAGATTCGCTTTGAATTAAAACATTGTCCTTAATTGTGGGTGTTGCTTTAAATCAATAATCTTAAATTGAATTGCTTTAAATCGACGTTCTACTTTGTGGAGGGAAATTATTTGCCTGAGCAAATATTTAATGTGGATAAAACTGGCTTATTCTGGAAGCGCATGCCAGAACGGACATACATCCACAGAGGCAAAAACCATGCCGGGATTCAAGGACCGAATCACACTTCTGTTGGGGGGTTGGGGGGGGGAGGGGAATGTAGCTGGTTTCAAGGTAAAACCCTTCATGACATATCATTCAGAGAACCCAAGGGCTTTTAAAAATATCAGCAAGCACACACTGCCAGTGTTTTATCGCAGTAATAAGAAAGCATGGATGACCATAGCACTGTTTGAGGGTTGGTTCCCGAGTTGTTTCATTCCACAAGCCAAGGAGTATTGTCTGCAACAAGGGGTGGCGTTCAAGATTTTATTAATTTTACATAATGCTCCGGGACACTCACCACACCTGGACGACCTGCACCCTGATGTTAAGGTAGTCTACCTTCCACCTAAAACTACCTCTATCACCCAACCCATGAGTCAAGGTGCTATTGCTGCTTTTAAAGTGTATTATTTACGTACAACCTTCGCTCAGGCTGTTGCTGCTACTGAAGGTGAGAAAACGCTCAAGAGAGTTTTGGAAGGACTACAACATTTTGCAATGTACAAAGAACATAGCTGCAGCACAGGATGAGGTTACAGGTCAGTGCATGAATGGAATTGGAAAAAGGTACAGAAAAGATATGTGAACAGTTTCAAAGGATTTCATGAAGATGAAGCAATTTCTGAGATTAGTAAGAAGATAGTGTAAATGGGTCAACAGCTGGAGTTAGAAATTGATAATGAAGATGTTGAGCAGTTGGTGGAAAGTGTAGCAGAAGGGCTAAGTAACGAGGATCTTATTGAACTGGATGCACAGAAAATTGCAGAGGAAGAAGCGAGACGAAATGTAGAAACAGTGAAACAAATGGCATAAGCATTTGCTACTATTAATAAGGGGATGCAAATGCTTGAAGAAATGGATCAAAATGTTGAGCATTTTGCAAAAGTTGACAAGACTGATCCAAGATGAACTTGCTTGCTACAGGGAGATTTACCATGAAAAGAAAAGGCAAACTGTGCAGTCTAAATTGGACATATTTTTTAAGAAGTCCCCCACTGCTATCTCCTCAGGCCCCACCACTGCTGTCTCTTCACTCCCTAAAGATGATCCAATACCTTCAACAAGCAAGTATGTTAGCCTGTCTGAAGAAAGCGAACTTGATGACCCATCCAGCCCTGTCTCCTCCGCTGGTTCATCCAATTAATGTAGTCTACATGCTTAATTAAAAAATTATTGAGCGTGTGCATTCAGCTGACTACATTAAAGGTAAGTTCACAGTAACACTTTTTTCATTATTGATTACTTTTACTGTACTGTATTTCATTTTATAATTTCTATGTATTATTTTTCGCTTTTTCAACTTACGACCTGGTCGTCGGGACGGAACCCCGTCTTAAGTCGAGGAGTGACTGTACTGTACTACAGATGGACAAGGGGCGACCTAATTGAGGTGTACAGTTAAAGCATTTCAAGAGGCACTACTCAGTCGGGTGTCCTTACCTGGAGCTGGCGGATGCTCACCCCACAAGGGGTCACAGCTCAAGGCTGAAGAAACCACAGGTCCAGACAACTGAGGGCAAACTTTTTCGGAGTGAGAGTTGTGAACTCTTGGAACAATCTGCCAGAAAGTGTTGTGACGGCACTGAGTGTGAGCTCTTTCAAGACCAGACTTAACCAACACTGGAGCAGGTTCAAGTATTTTCAGGAGCTGGTGCATGCCCAGTACTTGCCAATAGTGCTTAACAGAGAAGTGACCGATCGCCCAAGCGGCTAACGAGCCGATCATTGGTGAAGAGGATAAAAGTAAAAAAGTAAGTAAAAAATACAATACTGTATTGGTGAAACGGTTAAAAAATTGTTTTCTTCCTAAAGCTTTTCACCGACATAAATTTTATCAAAATTTGCACAGTACTACTCTAATGTTAGGTGATAATTAAAATTCTGCTGTAGTAAATAATAAATTAACTTATGTCAGATCTCTAAAATCATGTATAAAACTATGTTTACATTCTCTTCAGATCTTCTAACAAATAACCTGAATGGCTAATCACAGATCCTTACTCTTAGTAAAGTCAAATATCGTAAAAGTTGAAAACAACTTTGATAGACCCCTGTATCCATGAGTATTTTCCTAAATTATTACCGTAGTTCAACTGATTGAAGCTTTGATCTGTGACCACTTTTATGTACAATCTTGAAATTAAAATCATAATTTATACTATTAAGAATGCCATGTTTACAAACACATTGTAAATGTTTAAAAAAAACATTGCACAATTTTTTTTTAAACAAATTAGCTTATCTTACTATACTAAACTTTTTTGAAATGTTAAAAAATATTTAAAACAAAAATGCCTAAAATTATTTTTGTTTCACGGTCACTAAGAAAAAATAAATATATAAAAGGCTATTAAAGCACAGACATTACCATTCTTCAATGCAGCACAATTTACTGTATAATGCAATAATTCTTTTGTCAATATTAAAAAAATTTCTGAAACCGTTGCATTGACATTCCAATTCTTCAACAAGTTAATGCCATTCTGAACCAAAGCCATAGGCAGAGTCTGAGTCAGAATCAGCATTGATGGGTGGCACTGTTGATGCCTGAAGAGAGGTGTTGGTGTTTTCCATCGGTGCCAGAGCAGAGTAAGCTGAATGTGGACGAGATGGCACAAAGTCACGTTCTTTCCTTGTTTTTCTCTTTTTGATGGGACCAAACTTGGGAGGTGGCATGGATTTTGATTCTTTATCCTGGAATGTGGCACATATTTTTAGATGTATTTTAATGTTATTTGCATTTATTTGTATACTATTATAAAAAAATCACTATCATGCAACTAACCTGATCTACCCAGGGAAGGATAAGGTTGGAAAAGCTTTTCGTAGGTTAGAGGGGTAAAGGTATAAGTGCTACCTGTCATAGATCCTACACAGCTTCATCAAATTTCCCTCAAATTTTTCAGTCAGTCTTTTGTGTCATGGTCACAGTACAGGAAACCCTCCGATAACGACGGTTCTACTAACAACGATTCGTATTTAAAACCCTGTTTAATTTAGGACCCAATTCAATTTACACTTATTTTATTCGTATTTATGACGAAAATAGATTAAAAAATTAAATAAAATTAAATTTTCATATAATGAATAACTAAATCCAGATATGTACAGTACAGTATTATACAAATAAGAAAAAAAAAAAAAAAACGCCTTGAGCACGGAGGCTGCCGGGCTTGTGAGTGGTGATGCCAGCATCACTAGTACGTATAAACAGTTGCAGTTTGGAGGGCCTTTTGTTTTCATGCATCTGAACAGGAACAGGAAAAGACTTTCTTAGGTTTGTTATGGCATTTTTTTGTCCCTAATCAACATGAGCAAGAGAGCAAGAGATGGTAGTGTTGGTTCAAAAGCTAAAAGAAAGTGTAAAAGCTTTGCCAAGAAACTAGACGTGTTAAAACAATATGAAAAAGGTGAAAGGTCTGTGGATATTATATGAAGCATGCAATGAACATATCTGAAGTGGATCCATCAACAGCAAGAAGCATTAAAATTAACAGGGATGTGAAAAATGCATATGACCCCTACATAAATATGTATGAGAAAAAGAAAGCAGCTGTGCAAGGTTCTTTCGACAGTTTTATTATTCGAAGGCCTAAACCATCAACTTCAGGTACAGCTACACCATCAACTTCAGGTACAGCTACACCATCAACTTCAGGTACAGCTACACCATCAACTTCAGGTACAGCTACACCATCAACTTCAGGTACAGCTACACTATCAAATTCAGCATCAGCAGCAGCTTCAGCAACAACTACAGATTCAGTAACAGCTTAGGTTCAGCAACAGCTATGGCATCTTTATGGAAAGCTACTGCTTCAGCCAGAGTTGAACCTAATGACTCATCTGAGTAAAAGCTCACACAACAACAGCGGCAGTCCTTATGATTTTTACTTTACCACCGTTGGAGAGTAGAATTTGTGTTTTACATTCATAAGTACATATATCTAAAACATATATGAACAGTAATAAGTGTTGCATTCATATTCTTATGTAGAGAAATGACGATATGTATTCAAGTGTACGCACTTACATACGTTGGTGTTGCACAATCCTCCTTGCTTTTCTCTTGACTAATAGTGGTTAGCTACTTCTATTGCTCCATTTATTTACATTAAATAAATTCCCAGCCATGCCGACACCCACATGTATCACCGAAAATAAAATTCCTACACATATTAGACAAAAAACACAATTAAACAACACTCACCACATCATTAAGAACAAGTCTGGTCATCATTACATGTCCCCTTTGAGGCTAAGGGGACTCTTGAAGGTGGAGTGGAGATGTCACTCTGACTCCTATACAGCTTCTGGGGAGTCAAGCTACACCTCCAAAGACATGGTTTTCCTGTGTGCCTTTGCTTTCCCAGACATTTTCAAAGTTACACTGCTCACTTCAGTCACAAAAGCACAAAAAAGAAGAGCGAATACTAATATCATAAAAGCAGCCAACATTGCTCACACCATATTCACAACAACAGAAGCAAAACACTTTACAGTCATAAAAACAGCTTGGGACTGTAGTGCACCGGGTGACCACATGGCAGCACACGGGTCAACTGCAGCTGACAAGTGCAGCAAAAAAATCTGCATTAGCCAGATGATGACCATCGCTCAAGCAATCTTTTTTTAAATGTAAAGGGGTGGGGGGAAGGGGGGTTGTCTTGTTACAGTAATCCCATGTTTTTTTTATCGCGGTTTTGACCATTTGCTTTTTTTTTACTAAAAATTTATATAATATATATATATATATATATATATATATATATATATATATATATATATATATATATATATATATATATATATATATATATATATATATATATATATATATATATATATATATATATATATATATATATATACACAGTTCTCCTATAACGCGATAGATGTGTTCTTGTAAAACCTCGCGTAGTAGAAATTCGCGCAATAGAAATAACAGGGCTTATGGAGAAAATAGGGTTAGGTGCACATTACTCGAAATCGAAAAAATTTAGTAGTTATCCTAACACAAAGGATAGCACAGTCTAAATAAATGTTACATTCATATCTAATAATGAAATCATACAGTAAATGTAACACTTTACCTTGAAAAAATTTTGAAGTTGATAACATCGAGCTTCTCCAAGTGTTATAGCCTTTCTTTTATGATCACCACCGGGAATGCGATCACCAGAACGCTTCTAGGAGATATTCTTCTTTTCCATATTCACAGTTAATACCACAAAATTGGAAAAATAGTAAGCAAAAATCGCGTTACAGCAAACAAGCGTTCGCGTGTTACAAATGTTGTTCTTCTATTCATAAATCGCGTTATAGCCAATTCACGCGTTATAACAGAACTCACTGTGTGTGTGTGTGTGTGTGTATATATATATATATATATATATATATATATATATATATATATATATATATATATATATATATATAAAATATATATATATATATATATATATATATATATATATATATATATATATATATATATATATATATATATATATATATATATAATATCCTTTAAAAACAAAAATTTTAATTTTGCGCCATTTTCAATATTCCCCCGTGCGGTGCGGCAAACAGACGCCACCCTTTCCAGCCTCAGACACCCGCTGCTCTGAGAAGCCTCAGTCCACATGTGCCTAACGCAGTACTGTGAATGCTACTGTGATTACCTCTTCCGTTTGTCCTCCCACGTGCATTCCACATGGCTCCGGGATGTAAGCCAGCCTCATCAATGGCAAATATTACTAGCAAAGACTGTAAAGTGACCAAGAGATCAAGAATAGTGATGACCTTAACGGAAAAAACAGTTTTATTGGACAACCTCAGAGGTGATATGAGCTATTGCATGAGATGTGGAGAAGACTGACAATTCATTTGTGTCTTTTGTCAGAATACAAGTCTTCAAGTGGAGGAATGTGGGTGGAAGAAGACTGCCTGGCTGGCGTGACTGCGTGAAGGCGGGCAGACTCCGGGACAGCAGGGAGAGGCTGGCAATGCGAGTGTTGCATGACCTCAGTGAAATAAAAAAAATTTAATTTACTTGTAAATAAATGTTTTTTGTACATAACTGTGTTTATGTTTTTCCATTATTATACTGGACTACAATATGATTAGTTTCAAATAATGATGTTAGTAAATGCCGGTACAGTGCATCAGTATGACCACTGGGTCATGAGTGGAGAGCATGGCGTGGTTAAGAGCATGACCTACCTGAGCTGTTTGGTGGTCACAGGTACAGTGATTCCTAAAAGAGTATATGCGGTTTTGGCTTTTCGCGGGGGTTTCAGGAACGTAATTCCTGCGAAAAACACTGGATTACTGTACATCATCATAGCTCAAGCGAAATGTAGATAGGGCATGCTGTGCCAACAGATAACGGAGGCATTCAAGATTATTCAAGTATATGTTGAATGCCTTAATTGTTTTAACTATTTTGTGAAGTGAGCAGATCCGAGCCCCAGTAAATAAAGCCCTAGTGTTTCATGCCCGTCACACATTATCAGAGAACCACAGGTATGCATTGAATATTCTGTAATGCTGAAATTAACCTAAGTCTATTAATCTCAATGAGAAATGTCTATGCCAGCAGTCCTGGACAGGACGAACCATTACCCGGTACAACACAATGTTTACTTAGTGTACTCGTATTTCGTGATTATTTGATGTGAACCAGTTAGAGCTTAGATAATGAGAAGATTATACACATGAATGTTAAACAACGAATGTAGACCCTTTACACTATTACTTGAAATGAAACTAGGTGTTAACCAGTCATATTAAACATTTACCATAGCCTCGACCTGTGCCAGTGCCACAATGATTTCCCCGTACGTGGAGACTGGGAGCTCATATGAAACGCTTTTCCAGACACAGGTATGTTCAGGTACTGTGCTGATTGTTCATATATTGTGTCGATTTCATGTTTTGCACATTGTTCTATGATGCAAGAAGTCTTGCTAAATAAATGAACATTTTATCAACAATCATCCTCGAATATTATCTTTGCAAAATATTTAATTTAGTATTTGTTTACAAGCTCACTTGAGATGATTCTCCTCTGTGACACAGGTGATTGAGTCGTTGATGAGTGGGTGTGGTCACTGTATATGACAGGATGATGTCCATTGCCAGTATGGAGTTGTGTGAATGCTGCTAAGCTCTGGGAGCTTCGTGAGATGAGGTGTTTAGATGGAATTACCCAGTATGGCTGGGCTCTCAGAGGAGGTGTGTCCAGTGTGTGTGTGTGTGTGTGTGTGTGTGTGTGTGTGTGTGTGAGGGGCCACTCACCGTGGAGTGGACAGATCCTGCCTAAATTACCTTATTATGTGTAAGCAGTGATAAGTAGTGTTGAGTATAAGATACACCCACTTCTCGTTTTACGCGGGGGTTACGTTCTTGAAAACCACCGCTTAATTAAAAAACGAGTAAATTAAAAAATTTTCCCATAAGTATACATGTAAATGGTACAGGTTAGGGGAACCATCATATACTGCACAGGGTACAAACAGTGCTCTCACCTAAACTAAGCACAAAGCCAACCTCCGACACATGCTCTCCTCTCTGAAGGCGGGTGATCACATTTAATTTCACGTCCATTGGGATTGTTTTTCATGCCTTTTTAGCTTTAGGCGCCCCAGAGGAGGCAGATGGATGTTTCCATACATGCTCAATGGGGAAAA